GATGTTTATAGCAGCAATGTCCACAATAGCCAAACTGTGGAAAGAGCCCAGAAGTCCATCAACAGATGAATGGATAAAGAAAATGTGGTGTGTGTATATACACACACACACACACACACACACACACACACACACAATGGAATATTATGCCACCATCAGAAAGACCCGAAATCTTGCCATTTGCAACGACGTGGATGGAACAAGACGGGATCATAGGGGAAGGGAGGAAAAAATAAAACAAGATGAAACCAGAGAGGGAGACAAACCATGAGAGACTCTTAATCTCAGGAAACAAACTGAGGGTTCTAGAGGGGGGGGGCGTGGGAGGATGGGTTAGCCTGGTGATGGGTATTAAAGAGGGCACGTTCTGCATGGAGCACTGGGTGTTTTACGCAAACAATGAATCGTGGATCACCACATCAAAAACTAATGATGTATGGTGACTCACATAAAAAAAAAAAATCAAGTTCTCAACAAAACAGAAACAGACTCATAAATATAGACCAAACTGGTGGATGCCAGAGGGGAGGGGGTGGGGGGACAAGTGAAATAGATGAAGGGGTTTAAGAGTATGAACTTCCAGTTATAAAATGTGTAATTCAGCGGTGAGAAGTATGGCGTAGGGAGGATAGCCAGTGATACCGCAGTCCCGATGTGTGGTGATGGGGTTACTGCGCTTTGCGTGGGGAGCGCTAAGCAACGTACCAAGTTGTCGAGTCACTGTACTGTATGCCTTGTGTCAGCTTACTTCAGATCAAACAAAATCAGGTTCTTCCCTGGGCAAATCATTAAAGACGTCTGAATTCAAATTATTTTTTGGTATTGGGCACAGATTTTGAGTATTACGCTGGGAAGTTTTTGCTAGAGCCATATTAAGATTTCTGTATTCACCATGATGCAAACTTCAGACCTTCCCTTTGAGGAATTCTCTACCTAGAAATCCTTAATTCACAGTGAAGATTCATCTCTGAGAAAGTCCTTTTCCTTACTGGACAGAATCAGTATTGCTACATATATTTATGTTTTACTTAGGCAATAAAATATTTCAAAAATTAATGCTATCTCTTTTTGCTTTTTCATTCTTTTCTCAGCTCTGCAGATAGTCTAATTATAGGTTAATTGGTCAGCTTGATTTATTTTCATTTCCATCTGCAATATAAATTTTTATTCATGATTCACTTTGCTTGAAAAAGGACTTAAGGGTAGAAACAGGAGGCAAAGGGGAGTCGATGGGACCAGAGGTACATGCTGGGGTTGGATCCGTTTGCTGTTGTGGCCTCGGCTTTAGGCTCAGCTTTCTAGGAGGTGGCTGGAGCTTACACACAATAGCCCTGTGATCCCACGGGCTGTGGGTGGGTCACAGCACCTCCCTGTAAGGCGTCTGCTCGCAGCGGGATCCCATAATAGCTGCCCACACAGGTGGCAGTGGAAGGAGGTTAAGGATGCCACTCTGGAGATCACCAGGGCCACGGCCCCTCTGTGGTGTGTGACCTTCATGCCTGGCATTTTCACCTGGGATTTTGGGTGCTGTCTCAGAGACACTCCCCTAACCCCTTTCCTCACTCAGGAGGATGAGGGTGATAACTTCAGGTTTTCTTCAGTGAAAATAATTGAACCATTAGTTTGTTTTTTTTGTTGTTGTTGTTAAAGATTTTATTTATTTGACAGAGACACAGCGGGAGAGGGAACACAAGCAGGGGGAGTGGGAGAGAGAGAAGCGGGCTTCCTGCTGAGCAGGGAGCCTGATACCGGACTCAGTCCCAGGACCCCTGGATCATGACCTGAGCCGAAGGCAGACGCTTAACGACTGAGCCACCCAGGTGCCCTGAGCCATTAGTTTCTTTTTTTTTTTTTTAATTTACTTATTTGAGAGAGAGAATGAGAGAGAGCACATGAGAGGGGGGAGGGTCAGAGGGAGAAGCAGACTCCCTGCCGAGCAGGGAGCCCGATGCGGGACT